GAACCAACTTGAGAATAGGGTTAATTTCCTTTCATGCTTCCAGGTAACAGTTAATCACTGAAGGATTTTTAGCAGGAACTGAAGCAGAGACCATGGAGAATGCTGCTTACTGGCTTGCTTATAAGATAACTCTTTGCTAGCTAGCTGGCTTGCTTGCTTTCCTCCTTCTTTTTCTTCTTGTTTGCTTTTTGAGTCAGAGTCTCACTATGTAGCCTTGGAACTATTGGCCTTCTTGGAACTTACTATGCAGACCAGACTGGCCTTGAACTCATAGAGATCTGCCTACTTCTGCCTCTAAATGCTCAGATTAAAGGCACACCAGGCTCTGCTAGCTTGTAGATCCACATGCCTAGGATGGTGATGAGTTGTCCACAGTGTGTTAGGCTCTCCCACATGAATCATCAGTCAATTCACAGACCACAGGTCAATCTAATCAAGGCAATTCTGCAATAGAGGTTCCCTCTATCCCAGTGACTCCAGGTTGCATCAAACTGGCAATAAAAACTAACTAGCACAATAGTATATCAAGGAAACATACAAAAGCTAAAAATACTTAAATATGAATGATCCACACAGAACTATAAATGATTGAAATATATATTATGCACATGTGGTTACTTCACTGAATTAAATAAGCGGCAATGAAACCACAGGGCACAAATGGAGCTGGCAGAAAGGGGCAGGTTAACTCAACATGGCTACCTTTAGCTTCTCCTACACTAATAATCTACCTGAGCATTCCTATAAACCACTGTCCAGCTTGGACACGTCCACAGCCCTCATCCAAAGCCCCTTGTCTTAGTCACTGTTCTACTGCTGTGAAGAAACACCATGACCATGGCAATTCTTATAAAAGCAAACATTTAACTTGCTTGCTTACAGTGTCATCGTGGTGGGGAGCACGCCAAGAGCATAACAGCACTCACAGCACTGGAGCAAGAGCTTAGAGCTACATCCTAATCTGCAGGTCAAGAGAGACACACTGGGCCTGGAGTAAGCTTTGAAAAACTTAAAGCCCATCCTCAGTGACACACCTTCTCCAATAAGCCACACTTCCTAGTACTCCTCAAATAGTGTCATTCTCTGATGACTAAGTATTCAAATAGCTGAGCCTATGGGGGCCATATTTAAACTGACACATCCCCTGAAATAAATCTTTCAGAATATAACTCTTTTTTGATTTCAGGAAGGTGCTTTAACTCTACATTCCAGTAAGAACTAAGCAGACCTGTAATCAAATATTAATATTTCTGCAACAGAATGAGTATCCACACTCACTGGAATGAATAAAAGCTATAAAGTACCATATCCATTAAGGTCAGGGTATGAGTCTAAAAAGTACATTCTGTTTTCTGAGCTTTTAAGATTCTGAAATTGTGAGAAAAGAACCATTTGCATGTATCATTGCATTCAATTTTTTTTTCACTGAGAAGGACTTTCTTATAAGCCAAATCCAGGTCCAATGGTAATTTTCAGATAGTTCAGAACTGGCAATACCATTGGAATTTACCTTGGGAAACCCCTTACTTCACTGTTTAGTAACTGAAAGTCAGAAAGATGAAATGAGTTGCCTGGGGTCAAATGCTCTGTACCTACAGAACTGAAATTAGAGACACAAGTCTATGGTCTCCCTTTCTCTTCTACTCCCTTCTAATCCCCTCCCATCCCACTATGCCTTGATTTGAAGTGATGTATCTCAGCTTTTTTTTTTTTTTTTAATACTGAAATAATTACAGAAAACAAGTTGCAAAAATAGAAGAGCTCTCTGTACCTTGGACTCAGCTTCACTCAATACTGACAAAATGTTACTTGTAGCATACTACTGAAATCCTACCCCCAATCAACTTTATTCTGTTTTCATTTCCAGCAGCTTCACATCTTGTGTTCAGTTTGTATAGCTTCATCCCTTGTCTAGACTCATACACCACCATCCAAACTGTCCATCAGTATGACACAGCTCTTCACAGTTTTCATTCCTCCCTGCTCCTCACCATGCCATCTAACTAGAAGTCAGTTATCTGTTCTCATCTCCACAGTTTTGGCATTTTAAAAAATGATCTAAATGTTGTCTGACTTAGTTTGGCTTTTATTGCTGTGATACAACACTGACAAAAGGCAACTTATTATGTAAATGATTTCTTTGGCTTACATATCCCAGTCATGGTGCACTGAGGGAAGCCAAGGCAGAAGCCTGGAGGCAGGACCTGATACAGAGACCATGGAAGACTTGCTCCCAATGGCTTGCTCAACCTTCTTTCTTACGCAACCCAGAACCACCTGCCCAGGGTGAAGTACCACCCCAGTGGGCTGAGCCCTCCCACATCTATCATTAATCAAGAAAATCTGCCAAAGTCTTGCCTACAAGCCAACCATTTAGGAGCATTTTGTCAATCGAGGTTCCTTCTTTCCAAACAACTCCAGCTTGTGTCAAATTGACAATAGTAATAATATAAAAACACATTATATAAATGGAATTATACATAATACAAACTTGTGGAACTGAGTTCTTAAAAAACTGGTATTAGGAAGCTGGGTGTAGTGACTTTAATCTCAACACTCAGGAAGCAGAGGCAGGTGGATGGATCACTTAAGAGTTCCAGTGTAAGACCCTGTCTTCAAAAACATCAAATATACATTGATTAAATGTACTACCTGACCTCATTGGAGGGTATAGTTCAGTAGTGCTAGCATAACTGCCCCCCCATTTTCTACCCTTCCCTTGAGGTTGACCACTTGGAATCCTCGTGTAAGTAGAATCACACAATGTGATATTATGGGCTGTTAATTTAACTCAGCATATATTCTCAAGGTTCATCTCTGTTATAACATATGCCCAGTTGTTTCTTTTTTTAAAGTTGATTAACATTCCATTGTATGCATATACATTTTATTGATGCATTCACCACTGATGAACACATGAGCTGTTTCTACCTTCTGGCTATTGTAAATAATGCTATAAACATAAACATAAATATCTGAAACTTTTCAACTTCTGGGAATATATTTAGAAGTAGAATAGCTGAGTCACATGGCAACTCCTAGTTTTAAAGAATAAAATTTAACTTTCTCACTTCAAATAATTCCTTTGAGATGCATCCAAGTTGTATGCACTGATATAAATATTCTTTTTTCTTGTCAAGTAGTGTTTGTGTTTGGGAGAGCACATATATGTTCAAACAGATGTGTACACATGTGGAGGCAAGAGGTGAACACTGGGTGTCTCCCCTGATCTTGCCCCCTGCCCATATATTTTGAGACAGTCTCTCATTGAACTCAATTTGTCTCTCGATGAGATCATTAATTATATAGGCTGGCTGATCAATGGGCTTACAGGGTCAGCCTGTTTCCATATTGTACCCCAACACTTGGATTACAGAATCCACTTGTACAACTCTTGGTGCCCAGCTGTTTTGTGGGCACGTGGAATCTAAACTCAGGTGCCCATCCTTGTACTGTAGGCAAATTTAGTGACTGAGACATGGATTCAGCTCCATCAAATAGAATGCTATGGTTATGTGTATATCATAATTTGATCAATTATTCATCAATGAATGACATTTGGGTTGGACATATAGGGAATATTCTAAATACCCATGTTGAGAGTAACTTCTTCCTTTTTTTTTTTTTTTTTTTTTTTTGAGACAGGGTTTCTTTGTGGCTTTGGAGGCTGTCCTGAAACTAGTTCTTGTAGACCAGGCTGGTCTTAGACTCATTGTGATCTGCCTGCCTCTGCCTCCTGAGTGCTGGGATTAAAGGCGTACGCCACCACTGCCCGGCAAGAGTAACTTCTTAATTATCAACATTTTGCTGACACAACTTTGGCAAAATTACAGCCAACTTTCAACATTATAAACATCCCTGTATAAGTTCTGATATAAACACGTTTATTTCTTTGGGATAAATGTTTAAGATTTGGATCAATGAGATATATATTTAGTCTTATAAGGACCTGCCATTTTCCAGATTGGTCATACCAATTTACATTCCTATAAGCAATGCATGAAAAACCTGGTTTTTCTGTTTCTTCAGCAGGATGTCGTATTGTGTATGTTTATTTCATTCTTTGTCATAAGCGTATGACAGCATCTCCCAGTGAGGTAAATGTGCATTTCTCTAAGAGCTAATGATGTTGAACAATCATAGGCCTACCTGCCATCTTTTTGTTCAACTGTATAGTTTCCTTTCCACTACTGGGTTTGTGACAAGGTCTCTTGTTTAGCCCAGAGTTTGCTGGTTTAGCTGGACTAACTGACCAGCAAGCCATAGGAGTCCTCCAGTCTCTACATCCTGGATGCGGCGATGACAAGCCTCCAGCCTCTTACATGGTTGCTGGGACTCAAATTCAGGTCACTGTGCTAGCATAAATTGCACTGTATTAGCAAAGACATCTCCCCACGTAGCAACTTTTCTTTATATTTGAAATAAATTACAAATCACAAGGTATAAGTTCCTTTTTAAATGATAAAGGTTTTTTAAAAACCCTAATAGCAGGTTTAAGTGATAAAAGCCTCAAGAGGATAATGCCTTCTACCTGGATATTTGTTCAGAGCTGTCTACTTTGTCTCTCTCGTCTTAATCTCTCTGTAGGTGAACACTTTAATAACAGAGAAATGAAAATTAATCTATTGCACTTTTAAAATACGACTTCTTGAATGTGACTAAATAAATATACGTCTCTGATTGATATCCTCACGAGTCACTGGAGCATTTGCACCTCTAATCGTTAAGCGAAACTATGAAAAAAACATCCAAGTTTTTCTCTTAGGAAAACCATTTATAAACCATTAAAACCACTGAGCTGAGCCAAACAGAATAATGTTAGACAGACACCAAAGAATGTGTAATAAGTTCAAAGGACAGAAGGGATAAAAAGAACTGGCCAGGCCCAGAGCTAGCATGAATGTTCTGACTAGGAGAAAAAGAAAAAAAGACGAGTGGGTACGGGTGATAAAAGAAGTACCCAAGCCCAGAGTGGGCACGGTGGGTCAGTGGTCGCTCACCTGGCAGTGGAAAGCAGAGGGTGCTGAGTCCCCACCAGCTTCCGCACCTGCATAGCGATGTTGCTGAGCTCGTCACTCAGCAGGCAGCGGAGGCTCATGAAGGAAGCGGGGTAACCCACGATCTTTTCTGCCTCTGACACCACCTGGTTCCAGTGGGCTGGAGACCTGGAGCACCGGCCGCGCCAGGAGCCCACTGAGGAGATGGTGTCGGGGGACCTGGAGCACCACCACGGGCGATGTGGGGGACCAGAGGCCCCGAGGTAACCCGACAAGCGCAAGAGCAGCTGCCGAAGGCTCATAGTTTGAGTCTGAGAGGGCCGGGGACCTGGGGAAGGTGTCCGGGGATGGCACGGGCAACGAGCAAGGGCTGAAGAGGAACTTTCAGAATCTAGAAGTTAACGGCGATCCCAGACCCTCGGAGAAATGCGGCTCTCTGGAGCCGTGACCGGGAACAAAGTTTGCTGCTTCTGCAACCCAAAGCTGGCGGGACCGCAGCCGCAGCTCAGAAACTACACCGGCCACCTGTGGAAGTACCACAGCCACAGTCTACATGGGGGACGCCATATTGCAGGCATGGAATGCGGCCTGCCGTAAAGAAAGGGGCGGGCTGATGAGCGGCAAAGCATGCGCCTTACTTTACGGCACAGGTGAGGCCGCCCCAAAGGGGCGGGGCTGTGGCGGTGACCGGAAGGCGATGGGACGGCTGGAAGCCTCTGCCCTTGGGCCTGAGTGTCCTCCCTGCGGGGCCGGGTTAGGGCGGATCCGGGGTCGCCGGAGCGCTCCCCCGGCCCAGCGTCGGCGCCTGCGGTGAGGCCGTGGGGCCGTGGCTCAGGCTCGCCGGGAAGCCTTTCTCTTCTGTCCGCCTTGGGCCCTGATGGCCGCCCCTCCTGCTGGGCGACGTCTGCACTGCGGACCCCCGCAGAGCAGGGAGGCTCTCGGCCGATGTGTCAGGGTTTCTTCTGTAAAAAACCCAGACAGCAGCAGCTTTGCCTTCTGCACAAGGATGCTGCGAGGATGGAATGAAACGTTGCTTGCTCCCCTCTCCAGGGCTGAAAACTCACTGGCCTGATTGCGTTTCATATATTGGCTCACTTAATCTTTTGATGCATTTTAAAGATATTAGTATGCCCTGCATTTTGGGAAAACTGAGTAATACACAGCCAGATTGTAAATCACGACGGTCACTTTAAGCAAGAGTGTGAACCAGACCTCATGCACGAATGCTAGGCTAGTGCTCTTCCTCCGAGCCACATACCAGACCTATTTACTTATTTGAATGCATAATCTTAACCACAATATTAAGTAATATGCTAAAGGATTGCTGTCAATGTGATGACGATTTCGGTATTGGAAGGAACTTCTTGGTTTAGGCCTCTGGTCTGAGACTTACTATGTAGCAGAGACTGATCTGTAACTACTGATCCTCATGTACCTCTCAAATTTTGGAATTACAGATGAGGGCCACTCTGCCCCGCTAGTGCTACCTACTTGAGTATGTCTACCATCTTGCCTTTCTAATTACTCAAAACAAGTGTTAAAGTCGAAAAGCCTTAGGTTCAATCCAATGCAAATAAATAAATAAATAAATAAATAAATTTAAGAAGCTAAGTAGACTGCCGGGTGTTGGTGGCCCATGCCTTTAATCCCAGCATTCATGGGGCAGAGCCAGGCGAATCTCTGTGAGTTAAAGACCAGCTGGTCTGCAGAGCAAGTTTCAATACAGTCTTCAAAGCTACACAGAAACCCTGTCTCAAAAATCCAAAAACGAAGAAGAAGAAGAAGAAGAAGAAGAAGAGGAGGAGGAGGAGGAGGAAGAAGAAGAAGAAGAAGAAGAAGAAGAAGAAGAAGAAGAAGAAGAAGAAGAAGAAGAAGAAGAAGCAGTAGCTAAGTAAAGTAAAAATAATAAAGGACTTGTTGCCTATATTTTGCAATCAGGAATAGTTTTTAAAATTCACTTAAGCTTTCAAAATTTGTAGTTGATAATTTTAAGTTCACATCATGTAAAGGAATTAGACTTTGAAACTGTATATAAATTAAGATTTAAAAGGCAGAGATTGTTCACACTGTAAAACAAATGCTATTGTCTTTAGAAGGTTTAGCTGCAGATCTCTTTGAGTGCCAAATCTGTGATTTTGAGTTTCTGTCTTAAAGCCAGCACTCAGGAGGCAGAGGCAGAGGCAGACGCATCTCTGAGTTCAAGGGCAGCCTGGTCTACATAACCAGTTCCACGATAGCAAGGCTGGGCTCCATAGTGAGACCCTGTGTCAAAAATAAAAATAAAAATTCTACTTTATTCACAAAACCTTCAGTGTAGATAAAACTTAGGAGGACATTTTATTGAAGGTAAATAACATTTAAAAACAGTCTCCCTACAAGGGAGGTAAACTGAATTTTAAAGATAGCTTCTATGTAAGAGATACATTCCTGAGCTATAAAGCCCAAGTCTGTTACTGTGTAGAAATAAATGTGAAAAGTCAAGTATTTTGCCATTCTAAAAAGTTCCAAGGCCTGAGCTTCTGGGTTATCCAAGGAGAAAGAAGTCATGAAAATCCAGAGAGAGAAAGACTGAATGTGATATATTGTGCACCTGAGGCTGTTTCTTTGCGATCCTGGTACCTTAAGAGTAACTTTTCATGCATTTGCCTTAATAACAATTCACAGCATGTACTTTAATTTCTCCACAGAAGCCAACTACATTATTCTCTGGTCATACTCTATTAACCAGGTTTTTGATTATTCATGGGACTTCTGGTCCCATTTACTTTAAATAACCTACACTTTCCTTTATACTTACAGTTAAAAGGTTGTATTATATCTAATGGTAATCAGTTTTAGAAGGTTAAAATTATATTTGTTCTTTAATCCTCAGATAAATACATATTTCCTTAAATCTTTATAGCTAAAGAAATTTCTGAATTGCTAGTGACTTTTGCAGGAGCATGGAGGGGCTATGTCTGAGATTCTACTCTTCCTTTGTCACTGATAATAGTTATTTTAAAATGTGTGTGTGTGTGCATATATATATATATATATATATATATATATATAATGTTCATAAAAGAGGAATTCAGAAGATTTTCTCAACCTCAGCATTATTGACATTTTGCAGTATGATTCTTGGTTGAGGGGGAAAGAAACCTCTCCTATTTCTTGTAAGATATTCAGCAGCATCCCTGACCTGTGCCCACTAGAAGCCTGGAGGTACCTTTTCTAAATTGTGACAACCAGGTATATTGTCTCTAAACACTGGTGAGTATCCGTCCTTGGGAGGGCCACCTAGCCCACTGAAATATGAGAGACACTGAAAGCAAAACCTATCTCCAACCATGACATGTATTCCCACAAAGCATCAAGGGAAAGTTTATCAGAAGCCCTGCAAGATTGTAGTCAGCCATACACAGAGACTCCAGCTTGGTAATTGGATTTTTCCCAAGACAGTAAACTAACAAAAGATGGTCATGTTTCTTCTCAGAATCCTTCCTCAGTAAGTGGACTTACTTAGCCAACTCTCTGCATTTAGCCAACCTTAGAAAGAAGCAAGGCCACCGGGCGGTGGTCGTGCACACCTTTAATCCCAGCACTCGGGAGGCAGAGGCAGGTGGATCTCTTTGAGTTCTAGACCAGCCCGGTCTACAAGAGCCAGTTCCAGGCCAGCCTCCAAAGCCACAGAGAAACCCTGTCTCAAAAAACCAAAAAAAAAAAAAAAAAAAAAAAAAAAGAAGCAAGGCCATATTTTGGGGCCTCTTGTTTGAAATCACAAGCTTATCTTTGGGAACACAAGTATGAAGGTTGGTGATGCTGTGGGCATTAGCATTCTCATGGTTTTGAGATGAAAAACAGATAAGAGACATTGCAACCACCGGTCTATCACCCTCTATGCAGTTGCCTCTTGTTTATCCTGAGAGAGTTCTCACATGAGCAAAGGAAAGCATTGTTGTACACTTTGGAGCCGGATGATAATAATCAGGAGCAAAACCCACAAGTTTGACCACCTGCTTGATTGACAGCCTGTGAGGAGTAGGGAGGGCACCTACTGCCACTGAGAATACAAAATAGCACAAAGAAATTAGATAATCACAGTATTATGTATACATTGCCTTTTGACCCAGAAATATCAATCCTAAGAACCTATTCCAAAATGCAAAGTAAGTAAAGCAGTTGTTCATTATTGTGTTATTTTTTATAGAAAATAATACAAGCAACCTTAAAGTGTAGACTAACTGAATAAACTAAGCAGATTCGTCTTGAGACACATGACAACTGAAAAAAAATGAGGGCAATCCCTTTATATGTCTTTCAGTATATATCAAATTAAAGAATACAAGGTGCAGATAAATATAACATTGTTTTGTGAAATAGTTAGGTAAGCTATGAATATATTTTGGCATATATTCTGAACAGGAAGGAACAGAGATTAGCATGGAGACCAGTAACTATTCTATAACCCTTGGATGTCTGGTTTTGGCTTTAGAATCATGTATACATTTTATGTATTCAAAGTAATTTAAAATACAAAAAAATACCTAAAATTTGAAAATTAACTGAAGCAAATGATGTAACTGCATATTAAGTTGCTGCATCATAACCATATCAAGTAATAACTAAATTGCCTTATGAAAATGGTACTTTCACCATACATTTCCTGTAGAATACATCCCCTAGATGAGCAGGTCTTATTCTTATTGCTCATACAAATATAGATATATTACTTTTAAACTAATCTCATATGTCATATACAAAAACAAACAGGAGAATTGTGAGGAATGAGGATTTCTCAGAGTAAGTAGAATTTATATAATACTAAAATTGAATTAGAAATAGTAAGTTTATGACTTTTTTCTTTTCAAAAATGTTTTTTATATCTCAATAAGACAATTTTTGTTTTTATTGAAAGAAGCATTTTCTTGCTTTATCCCTTAAGAAGGCCTAGATGTGATGACAATTTTGTAGTATATTTAGTGTTGTGTTGTACTTTTGATACATTGCTTTCTGTAAAAAGTAAGGAGGTTGTAAAATGCTTGTACACCGGTTGTTTGGCCCAGGTGGAAAGGCCTTCAAAGTGTACAGTTTATCACAATGTTGACCTTTGGTAGTTGGGGTGCTTTGGGAACCAGGTCCTTTACAGGTCCCTCTTGGCAGAGGAGGTGAAGAAGCTGGAATAAAGGGATAAAACCTGAACAGAGCCAACAACTTGCAAATCAGTGTGGCACTTGACAAGTTGTGTCTTTCAGTTGTGTGGGGAGGTGGGGGGGACGGCAGGAGTCAATGCAATCTAAATACTTTATATGCATTTATAAAACTACCAAAAACAAAGTAAAATAACTTAATAAAAAGTAATGAGGTGCTTTGGAGGAATAGTAAATTGCAATCTGGAACAACAACAAAAATGTTTGTAATGGACCTGAAATAGCCTGTGGTACCAGAAATTAAGAAAGCTGTTTAAGTCTAAAAGACCTAGTGGGACAGGACAAAGATACACAGACATCAACATAAAGGGGTTGAGAGGGAGACAATGTGAGCATCAAAAAATAGTAAGAACTTTAATTGGTTGAAATTAATTGATTACATATGAGCTCATGAGTTCACAAC